TTGCCTGGGAGAAGAGGCTGACCTCAGCCTGGCTACACCCTCCTTTCAGGTAGTTGTAGATAGTGATAAGGTCACCTCTGAGCCTCCTTTTCTCCAGGCTAAACACCCCCAGCTCCCTCAGCTGCCCCTCATAGGACTTACCCTGTAGACCTTTCACCAGCTCTGCTGCCCTTCTCTGGACATGCTCCAGCACCTCAACGTTCTTCCTGAACTGAGGGGCCCAGAACTAGACACAGCACTCAAGGTGTGGCCTCAAAGAGACAATCACTTCCCTAATTCTGCTGATCACATAATTTCTCATACAAGCCAGGATGCCATTGTCATTCTTGGCCACCTGGGCACACCTCTGGCCACATCCACATGGGACAGGCCCTCAGCAGACTTGCTGGGCTCTCTTTCCTGTCCCCATGCTCTAGTGGGTTGGTTGACACTTAAATCACAATTAATTGCAATTAAATAAATTGCAATTAATAAATTACCATTAATTGTGATGGGGGAAGAGTTTGTGAGCAACCCACATGGTAGCAGTGTGAAGTCCCTGGGCTGTGGCCATGAGCCCGCACTTCTAACATGTCCTGTGGCCACCACAGCGTTGGTCCAGCCCCGCACACTGCCTGATGCCACCAGACGTGGGAATATCACCAGTCAGCAAGGTTTCAAATCCTTCCCCTTTGTCTGCTGGGTTTTGGCAGCTGGTGTGCCCTGTCCTCTTGCCAGCAAGTGTATCTTATAGCCAAGGATGGCCAGAACATCTCTTTGGATGTTCTGGAAATCAAGGTATCTCGAGCATTCGAGGATTTCTTCTAGAAAAGTACAGTCAGGTCAGGGGCTGAGCAGCAGTCGGGAAGACAACTTGGTGCTTTAATTAATTCCGTTTAGACGGGAGTGGAGGCTCCTAGCAGCCAGCTGCCACAGGCCGTGGGAACAGGGCTGGCTGCTCCCTCAGAGCCGACGGGCGCTGCCCGGGTCTCAGTCGCAGGGATAGAGCACCCCGAATGCTGGCGTACGCGGGGCGTTTCCTCCTCTGATTCTATTTCTTCGTCTCAGAATTAGCTCGGGCTCGCTGCCATCATCATTTCCCGCTGCCTCCCTCGGTCGGTGGGCTGGGGACGGTGCCCGCAGGAGCGGCTCCTCCTGAGGGCGCAACGGCGGCGTGAGGGAGCACCGGCGGCCGCCAGGTGGCGCCCGCAGCCCGCGGCGGACTCGGGGCGGGCGCTCGGCGCCCCCGATGGCGGCGGCGGCCCCGGCCGGCTGGGGCCGATCGACCCCTCTTCGCCAGAGCCGTGGCACGGACTGCAACGGATCACGAGGAACAGTAGGCTGGGAACAATGGTCTCTCGGAAGCTGCCGGGAAAAATATCCCGGACTGTGCAGAAGTCAAACATCCCTCCCCACGCCGCACCCAAACCCCAAGCACGGCACAGCGAAATTTAGCATTTCTCAAAGGAAGGAGCCACGTGTGTGTACGAAAGAGTCATTTAAAAGTGTATTTTTAGTAATGCCACCACAGACGGCTAAGAATCCGAGGGCAAAGCTCTCTGGTTCCTTGTGCGCACCTGCCCCAGCTCTCCCCTCCGTGCCGGCTCTCAGGCGGAGCTCGGGTAACTCGGTGAAGCGATGGAGCACAGCGAGTATAAGGAACATTTCTGTAATGGCCATTTAGGGTTTTAATGCCCATAGGAACACAGGCAGAGAAAACAAAACAAAAAAAAAAAAAAAGTGAGTGTTAAGAATGCCAAACCCTTAAACAGCGTCATTGCTTCAGCATGAGGAACTTCTCCCATGGATCCAGGACAAAGAATATCCCACAAAAAACCCACAAAACATTTCTGATGTGCGCTACAGATAACCAGCAAGTGTATTGCAAGTACTGCCATGGTATTTGGCTCAGCAGAAAATCCTCATTTAAAAAGATCTGAATAAAGGTCAAATATTTGGAGCTTAAACAGTCGAGGCTTGCCATCTTTAAAGGTCTGTCAGCACTTTTCCCAACACCAGCAGTTACATGAGGGTGGCCATGAACCAAATCTCAGTATGTAACACCTCAGACTTTGTCTAATAGCATTTTCATAAGTTTTAATTATATATTCTCAGAAATGCTTTGCAAAGAAAAAAAAAAAGTTTTCCACTTTTTACATGAGCATTTGTATCAAACTTTCAGCTGAAGTACAAGATGCTGCACATTATTCTCAGAAAAATCCAGTTGTTTATTGCTTCCCATTTGATCCAGCAGCATGTGGAAAGGAGGACCCAAAACACAAATAAAAGGCAGGCCCAGAAACAATGAGAAACAAAATACCACTAAATACAATGAATGCACACTACACTAATGGATATAATCTATGTTTTTATTACTATTCCAGATTGGGAACAGAAACATTCCACTGCAAAGGGAAACTGACATACACAATAAAACCACAATACACCTAGCCTGTTCATGCCACATAACAACCCACCCAGCTTTTTCTTTGGGTCTCCCTTTCTGTCAGCTGGTTCCCAGTAAGCATTTCTACCTGCCATTAAGACACTACTGCTACAGGTGTGAGCCAGTTTTATCGTTACTGCCTTGCCTTGCATAGAACTGCTTCTGTCTTTGCTCACCGGTTTGATAAGGAAACAAGGACCTTTGGTAGAAGTAGGGCTGAATCATCCGCGCATGAGCTGTCTCGTTTGTCCGGTTCTACTTCCCCTAGGAGAGCAGCCGCCATGAATTAAATGTGTATTTGTGCCCGGCCGACGGCGTGTTGCAGCAGTGAGCCGAACACCAGAACAGGACATTAGAGGGCAGCAAGCACCCTTACTGCTGCCTCGCTTTATCCAGCGCCAAGGGAAAGGTAAAAACCTGTCACAACGCTTGGGGGCCCATTCCAAAATAGTTCAAAATTTCCTGCTTTTGAACAACTGCAGTGGGCAAGAGGCAGATTTAGGAATATACCCCATCCAGTTGAACTATGTGAAGAGTGCAAGGTTAAATTAACCAACCTGGAGAAATTCTGCAGCACAGCAAGAGCATAAACATTGAGGACACTCAAGACAGTAACTCGTGAAATCCAGGGCATCATAATGTCATGTGGAAGGATTTTTATTTATGAAAGCGTGATTAAGTCTCCTTGCAATGTACACAGACACCCACTACTCCAGCTGTACCAGGCAGGAATACAATGCTACAATTCACACAAACAAGATGCAGAACGATGCTCTGGTCATTGGTTATCTCAAGTGGTGGGGGGGTTCATTCAGAACACCTGAGGAAAGGCTGTCTGGCACTGAAAGTTATTGTTAAGGCTTTTTACATATTTTAATAAAATGGAGCTACATAAACCACCAACATTCCTTAACACAAAACTCCAATTACACCACAAGCTTCTGTAACTGTTGAAAAGTAAGTTTGAAAGCCATTTTCAATAAGCCTTACTTGGGAGGAGATATTAAGAAAAAGACACTGAACTTCCTTTTAATGTTCAAAGTAGTGATTTATGACAGAGTATTTTAGAAAAACTCACATTCTCACAGTTCTCTTAACTACTGCAGAGCCCTTTTACTTCTCTGGCTGCCTATTAGCACTGTAACAACTACAACTACTTAAAGGCAGAGGGCTAGTTAAGTCATGCACATATACAAAGAGTAAAATGAATAGGTTCAAGTTTTCCATATTAATTTTTAAGAGTTGAAGAGAAACTCGGCAATATGTGCTTTTATTTCACTTACCCATTTTGTGACCTCAGGAAAAAAAAATATCTAGAGGAGCATGTACTGAAGAAAAAGGTTATAGTGTTTGCTTCTAAAATACAAAAAAATAATCCCGAAACCCACAAACCACTACCACCAAAAGCAAAAGTCAATTACAGCCCCCTCAAAAGCTGACAAACATCAGTATCACTGGTTCAAGGATAGAAACAAGGCATCATTCATAACCAAAAGACACAATCCATTGATTTGTCTGGGTGCTGCAGCTGGACAATGTATACAGGCACATGTTTCAGGGAGTTTTTTGGTTTTGGTATGTTGTTTGGTTTGTTTTGGTTTGGTTTTTTGAAGCTTTTAATTTTTTTTCTTTTTGTGGTTTTGTATCAGAAGCCCAGTCTTTGTGAGGCACCAAAGATGGTTATACTGAAAACACATAAAAAAATTCATTGTCTGTCTCCATGTTTTCTAGCTTTTAAGTGGTCTAGTACATAAAACCACCTCAAACTAAAAATATGCACAACATGCAATAACAGGAACAAATTGCACCTTACATACTTCTTCCACCCTAAATGGTGGAAATGCAACTCAGACAAGGGCATTTAGTGACAACATCAGTAAAGGTACCCCACAGCACAAATGCTTTACTATCATGTAAGAAAACTAGTCAAACACACCAGCAAGTCTGCTCAAGAGCCTGAGCTGGAGGCTTAAGCTCTACTCTGTCTTCTGCAAAGAAGGTGGCTCAGCTACTCCACTGCTAAAGCCTAAACACAGGCAGCTCATAACAAAGTGCTTCATGTGAGAATTTCAGTCTGAGGGCAACGATACAGGATGGAACAAGACCTCGAGCAAATCACTGATACTTTTATGGACATTCATTTTAATCCAGTATCAACGGGTAATACTTTCAAAACAGAGAGTTTGCTCATCATGGGCCAGCCACCTGCACTATGAAGGGAGCTGCTGTGAACCACTGACTGCAAGACTAAGTATCAAGACACCCTTCTCAGCTATGAGACTGTCTTAAGTAGGCTCGAGGCACTCCCACAAGCTCAGTAAATTCCAACTCTTAAATGTAAGCAGTGCAACTACATGTATTTAACATATTACACATTAAAAGCATTGACAGCTAGTTCGACCTTTAGGGATGTTAGGTCCATAGACTAAATATCCCTCATGCTTATATTCTCTTATTACTATTCTGGAAAAACATGAGAGTTTTCCCATTATTCTGCAAGTTTCTGGACTTAAAATGGGTATCTGCCAAGATTTATTAGTAAGGGAAAGCAAGATCAGATGCATTTTCCTCTGTGTCCATTTAAAATTGTCTTTATTTCAGTCATTTTAAGCAGAAACCTCTCACAGCAGTTGGGATAAGCAGGCTGTTATACCATTACACTGTTACATTCCATTGCAGAGATACATCTCACTTCATACAAATATAAGCAAAAGGTGTGTTTGTGGTGAGGTTCTTCAAGGAACATTTCTAAATGTCTCAGTGTGCCGAGTACACCGATCTGCACTTTTTGCATCAGAAGGCCAACTAGGAACACAGTACATCTTGCTCGTGGATCACAGGGGGAATAAACCATTGTGTTGTGACAAACCTTACCTGACAGAAAAGCACATTCAATTTGCTTGAGGAATCCAACTGTTCACCTATATTCAGTATTGTCATGGGTGAGGGTCCTTAATTGCACAAAGGTACAGAGCACTACTTCTTGGGTTACTTAAAGTTAAAACTTAACTGAGCACTACCCTCGTATCTTCACTCTTAAAATATCTGAGGCACAAGTATGTGTGTGTACTTGTTTTATTCATAATTTGTCTTGGGATACCAAATGTATTTCTAGTTCAGGTCATTCAACAAAATTGTTGACCTCATTTCAAAACATCCAGTGATCCATTTTCCATTCAATGGCAATATCGAATGTTAAAAGGAACATAAAAACAAACATGCACACAATTGTACAGTTTTCATAAATGTCTATTTCATTATTTGTGGGTAGCGCATTAAACAGTTAAATACATTTAAATAATGTTTAAGTGACTGCACTAATGCAGAATTTTAACTAGATGGGTAACCAATTTAACTAGAAACCAGCTAACAAGTAACTGTCTAAATACTTCAAATACAGCTCTTGTTGTTCTAGGTCATCCTTCCTGGAAAAAAGCCTGCTGGTCACATTGGAAATACATTTTAAGGCCAAATTCTTCTGATATCCCTTCTCTGCAGCAGTTTCTTCACCTTTTTAAGCCTCCAGTTCCAGGCCAAGACCAAGTTTATGGCCACCAGCATTGATGTTCTTTCCATCTATCAGGGCAGACAGTGTAAGCTTCACACCTGTAAGATATTTAAGAAGCATGTTTACAACACAGTAGCTTTCATGCAACTTAACCTCTGTCATCACAAGTCCCAGTTGTAGCTCTTTTTATACAATTACTTTCCTCTAAAGATTTTTAGAGGGGAATACATTTACCCATGAAATCTACTGAAAGTCAGTCATGTGAAGAAAGCCGTAAGATTTTTGTAAACAGTTATAAGGTCAATATACAAAAGTCTCTAATTGCTAAATACGCAAGAGTTCTCCTTTCCCGCATTAAGAAATGCAAAGGAGGAAATCTGTGCATAGACAGACACTTCTACCTATAAAGGGATGGAATGAAACTAGATTTTTCAAATAGGGAACTAACCAATGGTAATAGGGCCTTAACAGGTGCTTTCATACTTAAGCAGAACAAGTTAAGGTCTGGAGGTTTTCTTTACTGAATATGAAGAGCAGGAAGTGTGGAGTTTTGACAGTTAATCATAATTTGAAGACCTGCTATCATTCAACATAGTATGACTGGACAAAGCAGTCTAAAAAAAGAAGACATGCTTTGCCTAGCCTAAAGCTAAGCTGTCAGACATAATACAGTCCACTCCCGCACAGATCAGTGAAGAATATATTATATTAATACCATTAGATAAAATAGAGTTTGTCTTGCTTAGATAAAGGTTTGATGCATGATTGAAGCTACTGTAAAACATCTACTTGGCCTTCAAAGAAAAAAATATTCTGAAGGAAAAAAATTGCATATAAATGCAGAACTCAATTATTTTCTTTAGGATGCACAGAAGATATATATGATACAATTCACATGATAGCTCTTACCTGGCCTCAGGGTCTGGGTATAACCCACTCCAATTAGACTAGAATTGTTCACCTTTCCCTAAAAAAAAAAAAAAAAAAAAAAAAAAAAAAAAAAAAAAAAAAAAAAAAAAAAAAAAAAAAAAAAAAAAAACAACTGAAATGCTGAAACTGATTTGTTATTTGTTACCATTTAGAATCTACAATAACTACAGCAACACTGCCGTTATCAGCTTAACCAAATGTTATCTGTTCTTTCAGTATGCCTGTGTTTCCTGAATTCTCTTCTTCCAGCTATGCCCTTGTCCTTCAACTTACAGCTGAAGCAGTAACATATTTTGAAGCAGTAACATATAAGAGCAGAAGGAATGTAAGAGCAGGAAGAACTGTTACTGAAACACGGTTTCAGAGGTGAACTTCACCACTTCCCCTTTTTCAGAAGACCAGAGACATTTACCATTTATCATCAGTCTCCTAAAAGATCCCACATCAGAGGACTCCTCCATGTTCATATTACACAGGAATTAGTATCTTGTCCATCACGCAGCAAACATTTTGAAATATCATCATGAACAATATGTACAAAATTATTTATCTCACTTTACATCATTTCCTCAACAGAATGATTCCAACTTTGTAACATACAGGAAACTCTGCTGCTTATCAACTTTTACCCAGTATTGCCAGAGTTCTTACAATGAGAATTGACAGAGCTCCCCAAAAACTGGTTTGCAAAAAATTCTGTAAACTTACAGAACCAGACACAAACACTTTTTTAAATTGTGTTTTTCTTTTTACAAATACAGCAGGATCTCCAACATAAGCACATTTGACAGTCAGATTCTATGAGACTTTGCTGTAAGCAACATGACAGAATTTAAATACTGCTGGTTTAATTATAATTGCCTGGACTGTAATTCCTACAAGGCCTCCCCAGCTTATTTTGTACTATGAACACAGGGATTCACAGCAACTGAAAACAGACTGTACTTTGCACAACCCTTCAGGTTACAGCCATACTTACTGAAAGAGAAGCAGTGGAATCCAACTTGTATTTAGCTGCAAAGCCAAAGCGAGTGCTGTTGCTACCTGATGTCCAAGACAGGTTTATAGCAGTTTCAAGATTGTCACTCACTTTTTGGTAAATTGACCCACCAAATTCAGAACCATCATTGCTGCACAAATTAAAAGAAAAGTTAGCTTCCTTTTTGCATAATCCACTCCTTTTTTTAGTCCCTTTTTTTTACTACTTCAGATTTTTATTCAAATAAGCATTTCAAAAGTTTGAGTTGTTTCACATTTTTTGAAAAGAGAAAGATGAACAAAGGCTTCACAGCAAAATTAAATGGCAGTAATTAATGCAAATAAAAAGGTATTTCGGAATGCTACAGCTAATTCTCATGTTAACTGCCAAACAAAGTCCTTGAAAAAAATTCTAGATCACATCCTTACAAAACGGACCAATATGTGTTAATGGTTATAAAATGGGCCTTCTGAATTTCTGATTATTGAATAAGTGAAATTCCTAGAGCACTGAATGACCTTTCAAAAATCTGCCACATTGTTTTACATTAGTAAACTGAAATGGAATTCTTACAGCCCAGACTCTGAAGTATTTTATAGTTTTCTCCTATATTCCTCAATTTCCATGAATTCAGAGAGATACAATCCCCATGCTTTCCCGTCAAAAGCAAACTTCTAACTATCTAAACACACTAGAACTCCACCAATTTTATTAACTTAGATTGAAAACACAGTGTTTTTCAGTAAGTTTTGATCAGATTGCCCTGCAGTAAGATCTAAAGGCAGAAAGTCTGAAGAAAGATGTCTTACACTTGTTTACACTGTTTCATGCATTCTTAATCCCTGACAAGCAAGATGAACCTCCATAAAAAGTCCAGAAGCAATGCTCTAGTCTTGCTCTAGGAACTACTACAGCATTAATGCAAAACTCATTACTACCTCCAACAAATCTACTGCCCTTAAATTGTAATCTGATTCAATATAATGGAATAGCCAGAAAAAGCATTATGATCAGTTCTGCATAACTGAAGTACTGCACTTCCAATCTGCACGTGCTTCAGTATTTGGCAAGCTGTACCACCTATGCTGCAAGTGCTAACCAGTCGCATGTGTTTATTGTTTTGAAAAAGAGAGATATAAAGTATCATTTACATTTTATTTAGAGTTTCCTATTGAAAAATGCACTCCATTAATGGCCTTGTAAGCACCTCTTGATATTTCAAGCATTTGTATTTTGACTAGAAGGTAAAGAAAGCCTGGTTCTGGAAAGCTGGAGAAGTTTTCAGTACTTACACACTAGTGTGCAGTTGGAAGTCTCCAGTCTTGTAACCCACAGAGAAATTATTTCTTGTCAATTTTGATTTGGCACTATCAAAAGTCATCTGATAACCAGCAAGCCAGCCTTCATAACCCAAGACAGCTGAACCATGGACTGCAGGCCCAGCAAAATCAAAGTCAACATCACAGCCTAGGTTTATGCATTCACGTTTATAAGTTGACTTAATTTTACCACTTTTCTTTCTGAAACAGAGAAAGAGTTATATTAAGACAAGCATACATGATATTCCTCAATGACCTGCAAGATTCAAACCCTGTGACTCTACACAACGTATCTCAATGTCTTGCACATGCATCCCCTGGACGAGGCAAAAGTACAGCCAGCCCATTCAGAGCACCCAGGGCTATGGCAAGCAGGCATTTTCTGATGAATGTAGCAGCAGTTTCATGTTTCCTGTAATCTTCCAGTACTTCTATCCCAGAAAATAAGCCAAGTTGTGAAATGTGCAATACTAACCCCACAGTGATGTCATGGTAAAGAGCATGAGCCTTTAGCATTGGGATTTGCTAAGCTGGATCAACAACAAACCATACCAAAAGCCCTGTCAATACCACAGACCAGATCAATGGACCATGGGTGCTGTTACTCAGTAAGGTAAGGTAATAACATTAACAATTCTTACCCCGTATTTGGTGAGAAAGTTGTATCAAATGTCAACTTCAAGCCTTTGGCAAGCTAATTGAAGGGGGAAGAAGATAAGATAAAGCTATAAATTCAGTTCTTACACAGCAGCAAAACCAATAAATATTTTCCTAATCTATTACCTGATCTTCAATTGCAATTTCTGTTCCCAGAGTGTTATCTGTGTTCCATTTTTCTGTGAAAGTCAGACCATACTCAGCCCACTTGTATTTGGTCTCCAAGCTCCCGTTCACTTTTCCAGTGTCTGTGTTCGATGAACCAGACGTTGTGAATTCCTAAAAAGCACACAAGATACATGTGATCCTGAAAGCATTACACAGTGTTTCCTTCAGCAAGCACTAAGATATTATGTGGAAAAAACATTAAAATCAGTAGACGACTTGCAGGGGAGAAGGGAGAATAGCACACACAAGAAGAATTAATGACTCACGCCCACATGGAGGCCTCCCCACAATCCCCATCTCAACTGCAGTGTTACTGCCACTATTACAAAACGTACAGTGTGGCAAATTAACTCCTAAGTAAGACAGTAGCCACCAAAAGGACTCTCCTCTAAAGCAGCAACAAATTCTTGAAATGTAAGGTTCAGTTTGACACCCAGTGAGCAACTTCAAAATCAAACCAAAAGGCAAGAGCACTATTAGTCACATATTACAACTCCAGTAAAATTCTTCAAGAATCACATATGTATTTTGTGATTTTGACATACATATATGTATTTTGTGATTTAGTGCCGTATTTACATTTTACAGAGTGCACCTGTAAAACGTCATAGAATGGCATCATTTTTCAAACTGGCGGTGGGGTGGGTGGTTTGGTTTTTTTGTTTGGATTGGGGTTTTAACTGTTTTTTTAAAGTCTTCCCAGTCTTCCCAATGCACTAGCCTTTCACACCAGCCATAGGCACACCTTCTACTAACGCCTATAAAATTCCTATTGCCCTGGCACTTGGGTTCAATGACACACAGAAATAACGTTTGAAGTGGGAGCTTAGCAAACAGGCTGAGTTTATAGTATGGTATGATCTGACCTGGAATTCTTGAAAGTAACTTGGAAATCAACAGTATCACTCACACTTCTTTATTAAAGGAAGTAAACACTGATGTCTCTCACTATTTAGATTCTCACAAAGAACAGACTGAATAGTTTCTGTGTACCACTATTCAAAAACTGAAGGTAATGAGAAGTGGAAGCCAGGTTTGCAAATACCTTTTAAAGAGCTCCTTCCAGTGAAGTATTATTGCCCTTATGATTTAAGAAGTCCATTATTTCAACTTTTTAAAACATATAAATAAACATTTTAATCTCTGTCTTCCTCCATACACAACATTATTTTCAAACAAACTTCTCAAACTCATCTTCCCCAGAAGGAAAGAGAAATTTGAAACTGCAAGTCCTTAGGCACTCTTACAGTAAGAGCCTCAAGAGCACAAAACAAACATGGCTGAGACTGTTCTTTAATGGTGACTGATCAAATGTAACCACGTCCAAGACATTTTTCTGTATGATGCTAGTGACACCATACACAGTTGCATAATTCTAGTAGGTCTATTTCTTGGCAAGGGATGGAACTACACAAATACCTTCAGCTTTAACTTCTCGCTTTGTGCTATTCCTACTGCACAGGGTCTATGTCACTGTAACCATTGGGGCAATAGCTTCAGGAGAAACAAATTATTATATTTTCTTCTTATCTCTGCTTTAAAACATCTGTAATACATATATGTCAGCAGTTTCTCCTCCTGGGAAGGATGGCTTGTACTGCTCCAGGATTCACATCAGGACTTGGATTTTTCAGAGTTGTACCAGCATAAATGGTAGTCCTCCAAAGAAACAAGCTACAGTAAGAACAACTAGTTCTGTAATAGGGCTCTTGCAAACTGTGTTTCAGTTGGCATACGGACTTCTAGAAAAAACAGAGCAAATAACGGACAGACCTTGTTTCTAGCAGTAAGTTACAGTGCTCAGGCTCCAGTTGTGGGGAGAAAAAAATCTACCATTATATTTTGCAAAGTCTGCTCTAGAAATAGATAAAAGTTACAGGGGGCACTGCTTGCATGATAAGACATCTTGCATGGAACACTACTGCAGCACTTAAGTACCTAGAGGAGCCAAAGATTCAACATGCTTATTCAATGCCAACTACTTCATACGAGAACCAAGATGCCAGACATCTCCATCAAACAGTACCACAAGGTACTTCAGAAATATAATCTGTATACTATAATTTGTTCACCTTCACATGTAAGACCAGGAACAATTAATAAGCCCTTTTAAAATCTGTATACTATAATTGGTATATTAAAATCCTTTATTTGTTCACCTTCACATGTAAGACCAGGAACAATTAATAAGCCCTTTTATTATAAAAAAGATTACTAAACAAGGCAATATTCCTGATACATTCAGAACTTTAGGGGCTTCTAAAATTATTTAACACCAGATATTTGTCATTTATAGAACCTATAAAATACTTAACAGCATCTGAAATGTGCCCCTTTTAACTAAGTATCAGAACATAGCTAGAAAAAAAAATATAATGAATAAAAGTTACTTAAACTCACCACTCCACTTGCAGATTTTGTTTTCACATCCAGTTTCACCAACCCAAAGCCTTAATAAACAGAAGTCAAAGTTACATGATTAACTAAGGCCATGCACATTTTTCAATAAGCTGGTCTTTCAGGCTCAGCAGTGTCCCACATATATACATAAATATATATAAACAGCTAATAGAGTGACTTCAGCCACATTCAACTTACAGATGCCACAGCAGGTAAAGAAGGACTCTCCAAAACAAGGTAGGGAAGTGCCTCTCAATTCTACATGAGTATATTTAACTACCAAATGATGCTTCCAAAAGGAAATACCTTATTTTCTGTTCCTGGAATGGAACAGTTTTCATATCATAGTCAACGCCCTTCAAAGAGCTATCCCAACCCATAAAACACCTCTTTCTGCACCAAGACAAAATACCTCAAAGTAATAAACTGTAAAAGCAAAGTCACTGGGAAATACACAACCAACGGAACTGTAATATAAGTAGGTTTTAAGAGAGTGTCATTCACATTGTTACCCAGAGAGGCAAGCAACAGTCTTAGTGAAAAAAACCTCACATTTCCAAAGACCAGAAAGAAACAGCACTGTGACAAAGAATGATTTAACTATGCTATCTGGTATTAAAGCATTTTAAGATGTGTAAGGGTTCTTTACCCCAATAGCCATTCCTCTTTCTAGTCCAAAAAAGGCTACATTAGACTGGTATATAACCAGTTGCTATATAAATGTTGTGGCACAGACAGACCAGTAAACAAAGTGCTCCTAAGTTAAACTACACTTGCTGCTGGCATTCTTGCATACTTGTGCACCTCTGACATTTATGTGGCTCAAGCAGTAAGACTTAACAGCCTTCACATCAAAACAACCCACAAAAAGCCTTACACGATCTGTTGGTTGGTGGTAAAGATAAAAAACACAGCACACCTTCCTCCTCCCCAAAAACACAGGCATTTGATAATTCAATTTTCCATACAGACTTAAAAAGGCAATTCATTGTTGCACCTCAAACACCACTCATAAAAGGTACTATTCTTACCATATCCTTTATTGAAGATATCTCTGGCAGGTTTGCCAAGGTCTACATATGATGGAGGAATCGCCATTGGAGCTGAAAGGTAAAGGGCTAATTAATAATGAACCTTCTGCCACTGCACACATGAAAAAATGCTACCACAATTCTTTCAAGATAGTCTTTAAGGCAGATTCATCTACATAAAGACAATAAATATAATTATATATTTTAAATTAATTGATATGATACTACAGTATTCTGTGAAACACCCATTTTCACTGAAGGCCACTGTGAACATGAGATGTTTTCTCAGCTTATGCAGAGAAGAGACATTGCAGAGAAAAGGCACTACAAGACCACCCAGTTCTTAATTTTTCAGGTAGATTCCTCCATGTCTTTCATTACCAGAAATTAACCAATAACTCACATTTCCAGAGTTGGCATAGCTACTGCCAAAAAGCTGGACACTAGAAATCTAAAAGCCTGTAATGCAGACAGTTATTCCCTGAAGTTCCACAAAGTCAAAGCTGACACGTGCTTATGAAAACCACCTGAAAGTACCCACAAGGTTTTAGTTTTTAAAACGTAAAAAGAGAGCATATGTGCTCTCCAACATCATTTTTGCCCCATATTTTACATGGCAGACATACAATTTTAAAAAGAAGATCTAATGCCATTAACCAGCAATCAATCGAATAACATACAAGACTTTAGGTTTGGGAAGTTGTCCTGTTAGTTTAAAACATCCAAGTAGGAGGAGTGTGGGGTCTGGGAGAAGAGGTCTCCTTACCAGTGCCTTTCTCAGACAGGGAGCCTCAGGCAGCCCTGCTGTTAAAGAACCTGCCACTGCAGATGAGCTGTGGGCCAGCTCTCTGTCATGGACAGACAGCAGGCTAAGGTCTCACGCAGGCCCTATCGCTCTCCTCCCTGGGAACATGCAGTCTTATCTGCACTTCCTTCAAAGACTGTTTTCCCATGATTTCAACAGCAAGAGGCTGCTGTTACAGAGGCCCTGTATTTTAAAGTTGTGAAATATAGGAAACAGAGCATATGAATAACTCCCCCCACACTGTGAAAGGGGGGAAAATGAAACTAACTAGACAAGGCCATGAAAAGGCTAAACACATGCAAACAAAAAAATCTTATCTTCTCAAACTCATTGGTCACATTTATTTAGCTGAGAGACTCAGATTAACATAATTGACTTTTTATCTTCCTTTTGTGGTGGATTGATTTTTTTCTTTTTACGTAAATGAAAAAACTATCTATCTTTAGAACTTGAAAAATAACAATGGCAGCGCTCTCACATTTTAACTTCCAAACCCTAATTACACCAATATGCCATATACACCCAAACTGTATGAACTGCTACTAATTAAAAAAAAAAATTACTTTAGCAATCAATGGGAAGGCAGAAAACCATTCCTTATTTTTCTACAATTCATAATGCAGGTTTCCAGAGTACCCTACTTCAGCTCCCTATTGCCCAAAGGGGATAATTTCAACTTCTTCTGAGAAACAATATTTACACACATACACACAAATTCAGAAAAAACTTCTTTAGCAAAGATGTCTAAACTACAACCAGGTCACTATATCAAGATATCTATCACTTGCTTAAGAGCAAGTCTGGTTTTCCATGGAGTTACACTAAACATTCTTTTTAAAAGAGACATGAAAATGGCCTACAGCATCTGAAGTTTAAAGAAGCTTAGCCCAAGTTCAAGTATATAGAAGAACAAACCCTAATCCCAGTGACAGGCCATTGAATGGTTCCTATTATTTATTCCATAAGAAGCAGCTGACAGACCAATTACAAGCGAGTGTGAGAACCCTCGCCTGCAGAGTTCTGCTGTGCAGCACCCATACAATTCAGCAGTCTAACATCTTATAGAAAAGGTTTAGCTCTAATGAATAGATCTCACCTCTAACTAGCATTGCCAGAAAATTAATTATTTCTAGTTTTGGAGTTTTATATCAGCCTTTACCACAGACATGCTTTTACAGTATAAATAAAAGAGCTTTTCCCTTTTCAATGTTTCCAAACTGACTAGACAACCAGTACAGACAAGAGATTTACGCTAAGCAGAAATGTCCTGAGAAATTAACAAATTTGTGTCTGCGTCAAAATTCAGAGGATTATTACAGTAAAAATGATGTTACCATTTTATCTGGCCTAGTTAAGCATCCTTACCACTTCAGGGAAACCAACCACTATTTGTCAAACATTCCAGTCTACAGATGCAAGTTTTGTGATTAAATGCTGAAAAAGAGTGCAACTGTCACACTGCAGTTCTAACACGGTACTATAATACTGACAGGGACGGATGAGGACAAAACAGGAGACCAAGAGTTAATTCTGGATATAGTAAAAGTCTGATAAACCAGTGTCACTATCAGAACACTCATTAAATAAGAACAGGGCCATAAAAAATCAGTCCTGTGTCCTTCAATGTTCGATAGGTTTGATTATAAATTCTTATAATCACAAGTAATTTTTTCAACCCTATTTTGAAGCAACTCTCACTTAAAAACTACTAATTAGAAGTCACTAAACAATAAGCATAATTTAGCAACCAGAGGTTTGCTGTAAAAACTGTAAAATAATTGACATGAAGTAAAGAATATACTTGAGCCAAGTGAGAGCTCCACCCTAATCATTGTTTCATGCCACCGTGATGAACAAAGTTTAATTAATCTGTTACTCAGGAGCCATGCTTTCTTCTGCGATAAAAAGAAAAAATAAATGACCCCAAGAACAGAAAAATGTATTAACGTTATTGGAATTACTACATCACAGTTCTCCTTGGAGGTAGTATTTCAAAACTCTTATGCTCTGCAATTAAAAATGCCACAGACTTCAATGAGGATTTCTAATAATTTTAAGATCTCAAGATATTCAAGATCAAACTATAAATCCTATCAGCCTGTAACAGATTTTTAAAAAGTGTACTCACCAGTTTAAAAAAGCAACAACTACGCCGAAATTATCCCAGTATCCCAATAAATAGCAACAGAAGAATTGAAGTTATTTAAAAATTAGTTTGTTAAAATACATCGGACACACGGTGACCTTCAGGCTTACACTGATACTACAGAGAGCTTAAAAAAAAGCCACCTCCTTTCCCTTGCATTAACTCTCTCCCTACTCTCAGACAGGAGGTGGACACGCACGCCTAATATTGGCCAGGCCAATGCAGAAACTTTAAGGACAAGATCTGGAAATGGACTACGGGCTCAGGAAGCGAGGCGAGGGTAGTAAAGCAGCGCCTCCCGGAGGGGAAGGGCAACGACGGGAGAGCGGGGATGCGGCCGCAGGCCGGGCAGGGCCGGGCCGGGCGGAGCGGCGGCCTCAGGCCGGGCGCCAGGCGCGCCG